CATCCGTTCTTTTCCATATCATTCCCTTATCGACATCCTACCTCAAACACCGTTCCAATGTTCTAAACATGGAGTACTTTTTTTCCATCATTTGGACCCAAGAAAAGATATCATATTAAATCCTTAAAACGGTACACATAGTCAAGATTGAATTCTAAGATCACTTTAACTTTAAATATGGTTGACCAGAAAAACTAAGCAAACAGGCATAAATTAAGTTCACCAAAAAACAAGCATAATTTAATTTTGGTAGTATAAATTGAACTACGTAATTCTCAAAAGCTTTCACTTACTGAAGGATCAAAAGGCATTCCCACAGTTGGAACGACAGCTACACGCAAGCTCCTCATAATCTCAATGAATTGCTTGTAAATACCTTGGTAACTTACATCAATCTTTTCTTCCCTTTCAGTCTCAGGTTTAAGGTACTGTTTGGCTCTCTCAAAATTGTCAACCATGGGCAAAAGACTCTCAATCACTTCTCCTTGGGCGTCGGTCCTTACAGTAAGCCTCTCCTTCTCAAATCTTTTTCTACAATTATCAAAATCTGCTTGCAAGCGGATAAGTTTCTCCTTCCCAGATGTTATCTCTGCTGATGCAGAAGATACTTTCTTGACTAATTCATTCTTCTCGTTTTCTATTACTTCTATAATAGCCTCTACTTCGGAAACAGTTTTTCCATCTCCGTTAAAAATAGCCTCCTTGTAAATTTGAAGGAGGGTTTTCAAAGGGGGAAGATGCTCTTGATCTGCTCCGCTTTCAGAAGATCCTGCATTGCTCTTACTATTTTCCTTTCTGGAATTCAACTAACCATAAAAATATAAAGATAATAAGCAAGAATATAAATTATAAACAAAAAACAAATAGCACAACCATATAAAGTTATAAACAAGGATCAAAGCAAGACAAAAGAAGTACAAATAGTTAAAAGTCTGAAGAGTGTTGATTAATACAAAATGAGCGAATCATGTAAATATAAACATGGAAGATTTCGAAACCCTAACCCTAAGAGAAGTAGGGATTCATCACGAGTGTCTGATTCCATTAAAATGTGCATATCAGAATCTACGAAAAGCGAAATGCTGGATTGTTTTGTTAGACTGGAACCAAAAGTAACTAGAATTGCTGCTTCAGTTTGAACCAAAACATTCCAAAACGATGTTGCGATAATGCTAAGTAATCTCAAATGCTACCAAATCGAGAATTCAACTTATAACAGATAACAATTTAGCCAATTTCCACTAATTAGAGATGAATAACGCAAATAAACAGAAAGAAATTAAAAATTATAGAGAAAGCGAAGTTAGGAATAAGATAATGAAGAAAGCCTACTTACTGGGGTAACCGAGGCTTGAGGGGTGAGACGAGATTTGATGGAAGAGACACGCCTCCTACTGCCGCCACTGCTGCCACTGCTGTGATTAATAACGGAGGAGGAAGAGGTGGTGGTTAGAGAGAACCTGCTAAACCCTAGAAGACGAAGAGAAGGAGGACAAGGAAGAAGAGGTGGTTGGGGTTTGTTGGGTTTCGAGGAGACGGAAGCAGAGAGGGTACGAGGAGGCGGAGCTACCAAGGTGTGATTTGGAAGAAACAACGAATTCGCCATTAAAATTCAGACGGATAGTTGGTGAAGTAGAGATGCGGTGACCAACCGTTCGAGGCCTTTAAGCAGCCGCACGGCAGCTGAGGCAGGTTCAAGTTCTCGAGGCAAAGAGACGACGATGGAATGTGGCAAATGGCAGGTCTGAAATTTGCAGTTTTGGTTTCTTTTGGTTTTGCAGAGAACTGGATGAGATGGGCTTCAGGATCCATCAGTCTTTATCTTTTGGGCTCAAGGACCCACGACCTTTCTAGGCGATTCTATCACCCGGAAAACGATCTTGAGACACCCAGGACTGTTCCATGTCTTTCTTTTTTCTTCAAATGAACAACTTTTACTCTAAGATTAGGGGATGAGTATGTCAGTCCCTAATTAAATATCGAACTCAAAATAAATATTTACATTATCGTTATTTATATGAGTTAAATTTGATATCAACGTCAACAATAGAAATTAAATATGAAACTTCTCACTTATAGGTAAAGAAAAATATTATTATAACATATAAGTAGATTTTTTTAGGATAAAGTACAAAAAACTACCTTAATTATTGGGGTCACGACAGTTTTATACCTCATCTTTTAAAATTGACAATGTTATACCACATCTTACGAATTTGTGACAATGTCATACATCCGTCAATTTTTCTGTTAAATTCTGACGTGGCAAGAGACGGAGACCACTTTCTATTAAAAAATTAATAAAATATTATTAAAAACTAAAAAAATATTTAATATTTTTTAAATATTAAAATAATAAATAAAAGTAAAATTAAAAAAAAAACGGGTAAAGTACAAAAAACTATCTCAACTATTGGGATCACGACAATTTCATACCTCATCTTTTAAAATTGACAATGTCATACCGCATCTTACGAATTTGTGACAATGTCATACCTCCGTCAATTTTTCTGTCAGTTTTTCTGTTAAGTGCTAACGTGGCTTGATTCGGGACCTACTTTCTATTAAAAAATTATTAAAAACTAAAAAATAATTATTTAATATTTTTTAAATATTAAAATAATAATAAAAAGCAGAAGAAAAAAAACCCTCATTTCGCCCCTCCCCTCCCCCCTCCTCCCTCCTCTCTCCTCTCCCCATCTTCATCTTCTTCCCCCACCTGCAAATCCCAACAAAAGAAAAAAAAAAAAAATTCCAATTAGTCTTCCCCCCACGCCCACACTCAATTTCCCCACACCCACACTCTTCTCCCTCTTGCAACCCAAGAAAAAAAAAAAAAAAAAAAAAAACCCAGATCCTGTCGGCGGGAAGATGGGTGAGCAGAGAAGGTGGAGGATGGGTGCGGAAGAGGATGTGGAGAATGGATGAAAGTGGTGGATTTGGGGTTTGATGGGTTTTCAAAAATTTTTTTTTTTTTTCCTTCTTTTTTTTCTCTTCTTCTTCAGGGGAGTTGATGGTTTTAAAAAAAAAATAATAATTTTTTTCCTTCCTCCTTTTTTCTTCTTCTTCTTCTTCCTTCTCCTTCTCCTTCTCCTTCTTCTTCTTCCGCAGGGGGTGTTATGGGTTTTCAAATTTTTTTTTATTTTTTCTTCCTCTTCTTCTTCTTCCTCCTCCTTTTCTTCCTCTTCTTCTTCTTCTCCTTCTCCTTCTCCCTTCTTCTTATTCCGCGCCGACAGGGGGAATTTTTTTTTTTTTTTTTTTTTCCTTCCTCCTTTTTTTCCTCTTCTTCTTCTTCTTCTCCTCCTCCTCCTCCTCCTCCTTCTCCTTCTTGTTCTTCTGCAGGGGGGTTGTTGGGTTTTCAAAATTTTTTTATTTTTTTATTTTTTTGGGTTTGCAGGTGGGGGAAGAAAATGAAGATGGGGAGAAGAGAGAGGAGGGGGGAGGGGGAGGGGAGGGAGGAACTGATGGTTTTTTTTTTTCCTCTGTTTTTTATTATTATTTTAATATTTAAAAAATATTAAATAATTGTTTTTTAGTTTTTAATAATTTTTTAATAGAAAGTATGTCCCGAATCAAGCCACATGAGCACTTAACAGAAAAAATTGACGAAAGTACGACATTGTCACAAATTCGTAAGATGCGGTATGACATTGTCAATTTTAAAAAATGAGGTATGAAACTGTTGTGATCCCAATAGTTGAGGTAGTTTTTTGTACTTTACCCTTTTTTTTTTTAATTTTACTTTTATTTATTATTTTAATATTTAAAAAATATTAAATATTTTTTTTAAGTTTTTAATAATATTTTATTAATTTTTTAATAGAAAGTGGTCCCCGTCTCTTGCCATGTCACCATTTAACAGAAAAACTAACAGAAAAATTGACGGAGGTATGACATTGTCACAAATTCGTAAGATGCGGTATGACATTGTCAATTTTAAAAGATGAGGTATGAAACTGTCATGACCCCAATAGTTGAGGTAGTTTTTTGTACTTTACCCATTTTTTTAATGCAAACTATATTACTATTTTAATTTACACTTGAGGAAGAAAAAAGGGTTTAAACTCAAAATCACCATGACAACAAAGATTAAGGGTCTATTCAAAAAACCAAAAACCGAAAACCAAAAGAAAAAAAAAAGGCCCGAACACCAAACTGAAACCGAAAAAGGAAAAACCAAACCTTTTGGTTCAGTTTTGATTTTGGTGGTTCGGAAACCCAACTGAACCAAACCAAACCGAATCCTTTACACTTTATGGATGTATGCCTATAATGTTTATTTTGTGAAACTTTGTTGCCAAGTTTGAAACTAAGCCTAGGGCTTTTTCAAGGAGTGTACTTGGTTCAATTAGGAAGGATATTCCATTGGTTATAGAAGAAAGTTTTGGAAGGCTTCAGAACTTGAAAAAGCTTTTTTATTTGTTTGCTTTATGAAAGGATACAGTGATCATTTTTCTTTGCAATTGGAGGTTGTTGATAGAGTAAGATTGGTTTATATGATCTTGTATTTGTACAACTACCTTCCCACTTTTCCTATTTTCTTATAATTAGTCTACCGATACAAACCTCTTTTTAAAATTCCATATTGAAAGAAGAGCAAATTTTATAAAATTAAAAAAGAAGGGAAACCGAAAGGAACAAAATCAAACCAAAAAAAAAAAAAAAAACCATACAAAAAAAACACCGAAAGAAAATTGAATTGAACCGAGCCGAACCAAAGTTTTGGTTCGATTTCAATTTTGGTGAAAAACCAAACCGAATGAATCCGAACACATCCCTAACATAGATAACCAAAAAGGAAAATACCTTGCTTAACGGCAATTCGTACTGTGTCCGACAGTTATTGCAGTTAATGGGACAGGATAGGTCAAATTGTAATTTCAACAAACAATTCGTCATAAAGTCACATTGATATGATGACTCCAGCTAAATTCATAACCCTTTTCTGGCTGCTTCTTAATACGAAAACCATAATAGGATCCCATGAAGAACCATCACACTTGCATAACAATAATAAATAGAATTAACTCATCAAAGAAACAATGAACAGCAATGTCTCAACTCTGAAGCAATCAAAGGTCACAATCAAGCATTAACATCAATCTGGTTGGAACATGGAAAACCAAGTCCACAGAACGTTTTAACCGTCCAACACCACATACTAAACAAACCCCCCACACTACACACTTCACTACTTCAACGGTCAGACTAGTAGTCAGCTTCCTGCCGGCCTTGAGCACCTGCAAACAGATGCAGCAGAACGTGCATTAGGCAAAGCTCGGTTGTAAACAAATTCAGGTTGCACATACCATAACCACTAGAAACCGTTGGTTTTCAACAAATCATAACTATAGTCCCCACAGTATTTGGTCTTTTTCGATTTTATGTTTAATTACGAGTAATAAGCTCAAGCAAGCTATTTCTTGAAATCCCCAATTAACAAGATGTTCAAGTCAGTTCAGTTGGATAATATTTTGTTCCTTCAGAGAAGCTTAACTGACAGTTGCGGCTGGAGAATCAAATGCCAAAGGATACAAATGATGCACATAATGCTTAATTTACAGGCTCTACAAACTGTTGTGTTGTGTTGTGATACTCCGGTTGTGAAGGAGTATTTCCAATCTCGTATACTGTAATAAAAAATCTAACAAACCAGCAAAATCACTGAATAATAAAATAGCAAAGAACTTGATGATGAAAACGATTTCATCGTCGTAAACCCAAGAAAATGCAATTGAAGTATGGAAAGAGCACTGTTCGGTATGGTGGTGTTATATTTTAATAGCTTTAAGGTTACACAAAGAATGTATTATGTACATGAGGATGTGGTTGTTGAAGGGAGTGGCAAAACAGGATTTATGCATGCAAAGTCCAATAGAAGGAATAAAGATTCAAAACTCATGACTGTACGATTGAAGCATGCCAGATCCAAATCCAATCATAACTTACGTGTAGATTAGACATTTCAATGTGATTTAGTGAGAAGAGATTTTACCTGCACAGCAATTTATGGCACAGCAGCCACCAGCACAGTTCACAAACTACAAGAATCAACAGCTGAGGTTTTTTGACATTTAATATCAATCCTATCAAGAAGTTCGGTAAAATTAAGATCCAGTTGGTTGTGCCCTCCTTCTGCTACATTGTACTCTTTGTTGCCACTGTCCTCGGTGCAACCAACATCATCAGAACCACCTTCAGCAGACTGGTTTGTATGGATGATCTTACCAAACAGCTGAAAGGAACTTGTGCCAACCTTTGTCTGCAACCGGTTTCCATCAAGTTCCATCCCAAAGGATGGCACACTACTCTGGCTATCTGGTGACAATTCATCAGACTGTGAACTACCAATGTTCAACTCAGTACACACCCTCTTCAGCTTTGGCACCTCATTGTTGCCAAAGGAATTGTAAGTGCACGCCTGAGGAGTGTTTTCACTTAACAAGTGGGATAGATTAGATACAGAGAATGTATCTTGCCTGGCTCCCTGCATGCCCGCGGGAAAATTGTAGTTCAACAAGGATGCACTAAATGGCCCCATTGCTGAATTAGCTGCTCCTGCCATAGGAAAGAAGAATTCTTCCTCTGCATTGATCAACAGCCCATGACTCAAAGGAGCTCTGAATCTCTTTGTGGGGCAAAACGTTGTCTGAATTGTAGGTGTTGATCCAACAAATTCGACTTGCCACGGGCTCACCCTCTTAGCATTGTGCAGAGCTTCAGGTTCGTCCCATGTAACCTACAATACAGAGGTTATTAATTATTTTAATAGCTTGGCAAGAATTATAAAACTTAACATCAGTCAATAATGAAGAGAAAGAACAATAGTATCAGAATGTAACAAAATGTAGAAAATTGCAATATTGTGTGTATGTATTTTGGCTTAAAATTTAACCGTAAATAATAAACACCCCTCTCTCCGTGCGCATGTATGTACATGTGTATTAAATTTCATTTCTTGGGTTTGTATGTGAAACATTATACTTTGCTAAACTGCAAACTTAAACGGACCAGTGCCTCAACACAATAGATAACAGCCCACAACTCGAATCAGATTATCCTGACATGGAATTTCTTTTCTTAACGGTAAGTTTGGCAGCAACCTTTTCTCGGCAGCAAGAGAAATGTAAGTTTAGGAATTTTAACATAATTGATATCAAGTATTTGAACCAAAACCTACAGAAAAGTCAGTGTCATGCGATGCAATACCGAACTATCAACTGCTCTTTCTTGTCAACTTCTACTCCAAAATTAAAGCGCAACAAGAAGTGGGCTATTTGTTATAAGCCATTAACAAATGCCAGTAATTGAACAGGACTATAATCCAACAGCAAAATCAGCCAAACCGAGCCATAGTAGAATGCCGCCGTGGTAGCATCGACTGTTTCCTTTAAATTTAAATCCCATATCTGCTTCCTGATAGATATAAACTAGTACCATGATATGTTCCCTAATGGAAAGAGGGTGGATAACACTACTTACTAATACCCAATTCTTCCGTTCAAAATACAAAATGCGTTTCTTAATTTTGCATCAATTGAGAGATAATAACAGCTTAAAATCAACTAAGACTAAAAGCTGAAGAACCAATACCTGAAGCATGCGCCAGGGTGAGCCCTGCCAAGGTCCATTGTCCGGTACCGAAGCCGTCGACAGAGTGCCCTGAAACCAAGTCATCCGGGACGAGTCCTCCGTCTCCATAGCCAACTTCACTCTCATCCCAGCCGTCCAAAACACCTTCAATGCCTTCTCCACCACCTCAGACTTCACCACAAAGTCCCACCACCCCGCTTTTGGATAATACACCACCTCAAACGGCTTCCCCTCCGCCGCCATCTCCGCCACTTCGGCCACGGCCTCCGCGGACATTACCTTCCTTCCAGAACAGTCCTGATCCTCTGTCTTCAGCCTCATCGAGTTCGTCGGTCCGCCTCCAATGTGATAGTTCCACCTGGCGCAGTCAGAGCTGGCGCTGGGCCTGACTGCGCGACGGACGCCGATGAACATCTCTCCCCTCCCGTTCCTCATGAAGACGACGGAGTCACCGGCGACGAGCATCTTGTGGTTGACGAACTTGCTCCAGCCAGTGGTGAGCAAGTGCCGTCTCGGAGTACCCCTGTATATGTGCCGGAATTCCCAAACGACGCCGTGGAGGTCGGTGAGGAAGAGCGCCTGGACCGGCGGCTCGGCCTGGTAGTTAAGCGGAGGAAAGATGGAGTCCGCGCAGAACTTCGGAACAGAGAATCCACCGCCATTGTGAGCATCCGAAGGCGTCAGTATCTTCGCGAACGAAAAGACTCTGTCATCCTGTCGTTCCAAGCCCCCATTATCGTCGGCGTTGAGTTCGTCGCCATTGGGCGGCTTGACGTTGGGGAACTCATTTGGGATTGGGACGAGAAGCAGCTTGGCGAAGACCTCGTCGGTGGTGGGGTCAGGGAGGAAGTGGAGGTCGGAGATCCGGCAGAGAATGAGAGGCTTGGAGAGGAGGAGAGGGGAGAGGAGGATAGGCGCAGCGGAGGAGGGGGAGGATTGCTCGAGGTGGCCCTGAGGGAAGTAGTAAACCCTAGAGTTGAGGGTGGGGATTTGGACGGAGTTTCCGGCGCAGGCGCGCCAGATTTTGGGGTCGATCGAACGACGGTGAGGCGGAGGCATGTTGGATTATTTCGGCTAGGGATTTGGGAAGAGGAGAGAGAGAGAGAGAGAGAGAGGGAGTGTGTCTGATTTGGTGGTGGTTGCCTCAGAGTATGTGACAGGAGGAGAGAGGGAGAGAAATAGAGAGAGAGAGAAAGAGAGTGCCGTCTTCGTGTTGGGGTCGGAGAACGGGCACGCAACCAATACCCAAGGGCAATAGAATACTGGCGATATAAATTGTTTCGGGGCGAAATGGTCCTCACCATATTACAGTGTTGCCCTGCCCACAGAAATGCAACCGCCTCCTATTCCAACCAACTGCCATGTACTCTCTCTTTCTCTCTCCTCACTGTTTGTTACATCGTTTTTACCATTGCCCAATGAGCTCATTTTCTTAATTTACTGTCCCAATAATCGTAAAAGTTTGTTCTTATTTCGGTTACAGGGATTAATACCCGACTCCGAGTCATAAGCCAATAAAGGAATATGCCTTAAACATGCTATATTGTCAAATCGCTTTCATAAAATAAAAAATACATAATTTATTATGCGTATTGATTTATTTACACGTATGCGACACATTCAAACGTTACGTGTTGATATTAATGATTCTAACGTAAGTCTATGTTGCCAATGCAGTGAAAAAAAGAATAAAACTCCCAAATTTAGTGCTTCCGTGTCAAAATCGTATCATGTAAATTTACGAGACAGTTTTATGTTTAAATAGCACCATATCTGCATAGTCACGTGATGCAACAAACCAATTAGCGGGAGCGGACAAAAGTAAATCCAGTAGAGAATAGAGCATGCCATTGCAGTCTGCGCGAGATGATTGTTATTGTACTTGAAAATCCCAGAGGCAGCAGCATTTGGTGTGCCCTCACTCTCAGTCAATGAATGCCACACTGACACTGCCTCATTAAAGTCAACATATCAGGTTGTTACGATTTTATTCTCAATTTTTTTAGGATTCTTTTTTCAATTAAATTATGTTTTAACTGTCCTTATCACAAATAAAATTTATACAATTTCAGAAATATAATAAAAATGAAGGATTAGCTTCCACAGTTTAATCGCTTCTGGTGTTTGTCATGTTTTATGAAATGTTAAAATATTGGCGCATAAATTAGCATTAATTCTATTTTTTTTTGTTGATTCGAAGAGCTTCATAATTTTTTTTTTTGTCAAACAAAATATTTGTTAGATTAGATGTTATAATAAAAAGTTGATGGGATTATAATTCATGTCGTAATATAAGAATAATATTCTTTTGCACTACTATGGTAGAAGGCCTTGCAGCCACATAATACTATACGGGTAACAGGACGCCCTCTTAAACACGACGTCGTTTCTTTTCTTTAAAAAATGATAAGCTGACGTTAGGGTAGCGATGGCACGGACCGGGTTTTAATCGTAGCTGTTGTGTTGCCTGTAGACAAGGGACTCTCGGCATCATCAAAATTCCATAATTATAAACGCAGTTAAGTTTTAATTAATTATTACTTCTATTTATTTTGTTATTTAAACGTTTTCAATTTTCTACGTTTATGAGCTAATTTTCTGTCGTAATAAGATAAGCATGGCAATCAGATAAGTTAAGGTTTTGAATTCTGTTTTTACACGTTTTGTAATGATAAGGTACAAAAATATTTCTTCAATACTAATATTTGAGTCCATCTTAAACTTTTATTTGCAGTAATTTCAATATTTTCATGATATTCAAATTTGAAGTTTATTCATGATAGACAATGATTTTCAAAACAATTATCATGCTCTCTCGACTTATGTTTATTATATTATTTTCATAAAGAAGGTTTTACTAAATCACCTTTTTCAAAATTTCAAAAATTAAGTACATAAAAACTTCCAACCTTTTATTGTCATTCCGGGTTAGTTTTAACATTTTCAAATACTTCAAAAAAGTATCCAATTTACTAGAAAAGTCAAATTCGTTAAGTCTTAGTTAAAAAATTTAAGTGAAATTGTACGTGTGGTGACGATGGTCCCAACTTATAAGCTTATGTGGACAACAAAATTATAAAATAAAACAGGTTATAAAAGGAAGATTAAAATAATCCAAATAAACCAAATAAATAAATAAAACAGGTTAAAAAAGGAAGATTCTGCTCAAGCGAATTCTGTATTTGTCGATTCTCAGCTAGTAGAGCCTTTAGATTTTCATCAAACATTAAGCACTTGGTTCCCCCATGCTCATAATAATTATGGTTGCACTGTTGCAGTGCATGGTTGATACCATGTCCAAGACCTTCTTCTCAATGTTGATAGCTTGAGTTGTAGGGTGGAGACGATGGTGGTGCGTTGGGTTTAGAAGTGATGTGGGTGTTGGTGACTGTTGATGGGTGGACAGCGGCAAGAAGAGGTTGTGGGGTTGAGTGGGTTTTTTCTTTCATTCTAATTTTTACAAAAGAATACCTTAATTGAAAATTTTGATTATTTTGGGGAAAATTAAGCCCAAACGTGGGAGCATCATTGCCGTCACTTAACCAAAAAATTTAACTAGCGTAACAAATTTGACTTTTTAAAAGATTGAATATCTATTTTGAACGTTTGAAAAGATTACGATCAATTTATAATGATACTAAAATGTTAGGAAGATTTACGTACGTAAAACAAATTTTAATATACATCAATTCTTTTCGTAAAAGAAGGACTTTATCAATTTTTTTATGAAATCAAAACCAACGATATTCTAATATGAGATGAGAAAAATTAAAACTAGGTCATACAATAAATCAATCATAATAATTAAAAATTAAACTCGTTATTTATACGAATTAAACTTAAAAATTCGTACTAAAAAAGAAACCATGATGAAAAAAAGTAGGATGCTCTTCCTTTTTATTCCTATCTCCTTTCGTCCCTCATTTCACACTTTATTTTTTATCTTATTATCTATATAAAAAATATATATATATATATATATAATTTTTTACGTGATTTTACTGTAACTCTTCAAATAAAAACAAAATTAGAATGAGAGAATACTTCCCTGACGAAATGTGAGAACAAAATACCTTGTCTATGACGTGGACACGATTTTTATCTATTTGGTAATAGAATAAAAATAAATTGTTTAAAAATGGGCACATAAAACCTGAATCCGGGGTTGGTCAGTTTAATAATTACTAAGCTTGAATATATATTATTTTTCTGACTTGGGACACGCGTGTCACGTGTCATATCAGACCGACAAGACTGCCATTTTGTTGTCCTTGTTTTGTCATGTACAATGACATAGACGTGACTCGTGTCATTGTTGTCATCTTGTACTTGAAGTCAAAAGTTTTGGAAAAAAAATGTGAAGTGGATTAAGTTTAAAAAGCACATTCATTAAACTTTGTTTTGAAAAATTTGGGTGTAGAATGAGAGAATTTTGAGTGTTAATAATAATTCCCATAAAAATATATGTAAAGAATTTTTGCCAAAATGAACTTATATCATCTCAAAATACGTTAATTTTCGAGCACGGGGATATTCAATCCTAACATTGTATTAAAGGATATAATTGAATTGAACATAACTGCTCTTCTAAGGTTCTTATTTTGAGAATATTTGAGGTTCGTTTTCATATGACTCATCAGATTAATCTTATGATAGATTAAACTATCAACATAAATAATAATTGTTACATCGAAACACAATAATTCTACAAAGTGAATAAATTAAAAAAACAATCTCACATAAAATCTTAAGTCTTCTTCCCCTACTGTCTCTCTCCATCTTTATCTCTCTCCATCGTTTATTCCCCTTCTCTTATCCTAAGTTATTTTTAATATCCTTTTCGCGTATGAAAAAGGAAGAGGATTATGTTTCATATTTTTCATCGGCGGGTGCAATCAAGAAGAAGGAGATCTCAATTTTTGAAGCCACACAATCTCAAGTTTTTTTGTGCTATGTAACTAACTGGGTTTGAATATTATTTGATAAAAGACTAGATGAAATTGGATGTGTAAAATTATTAGGGTTTTATGCAATTGGATTTGCTGGATTTAATTATTCGGTGACGAGACTAGGTTTTACAGATGAATGTGGTTCGACATGACATGAAATCTTCTTTTTTATTGACGGGGTTTGAACACACGCTGTCATGCGTGAAATCTTCTTTTATCTTCTTATTTTTTGTTTTATCAATTAGTATTTTATTTTCTTGTAACAAGAATTAATTAGGTTAGCATAATCTAAAGTAAGAGTAATTTGAAGGTTTATGTAAAAAAATGACCCCACAGATCCTAAAATAAGGACCATAGAAGAGCAGCTCTCTTGAATTGAATGCCAATCACGACAGAAGGGAAGAGTTTGGTTAGAATTGATCAAAGATGATTTTGTCATGAGAACAGTAAACGAATCCAATAGCAAATGGAAGAAAATAAATCATTCAAAGGTATTATTTTCGTTTTGTCAATTAAACTCCTTGTTATGTAATTACATTGTTAATCTGGAATACTTAGTTTTAGGCAGTTTTAAGCGTTCTTTATCGCTTTTAATACAGTTTTGGACTGTCTTTGGTACGATCTTACGGTATTTTGAATAAAACATCTTATTCCAACACAAAAAATTTTGGAAAGTAATTACCGCATGCTCATCATCTTCCTCAGCACACCCTTTTTATTGTCTTCCCCAAATTTTTCTGGACCCAATTATTATCGGCCCATGGGCTAGCGGTTATTATTGGCCCATGGGCTCAGCAATTCATGAAACGTATGATTGTGTGGGATACAAGAAGCCTTCGATGAAATTATATTACAGTAAAAGTTGTCTTACGTCAGACAGTTAGAACAAATTAATCAGTGTTACCTTCTACAACCTTAAGGTCTCTTTTGGTGTCTACAGAACTCTTTTCCGTGTCATAACTGAAAGTAGAAGATAGATTAACCAAGAAAAAAACTTATCCCTCTGATCCTTTTTAAATTGTGGTGATTGGAAGGTATAGGTTTCTTGGTTAATATTCATCTTCTATTTTCAACCATGACAAATTCAAAAATACATCGGATCTAGAGCGTTATCAAATCCACTCAAATCTCAAATCCTTAACACCAAACGAGGCCCAAGTGAAAGCCAGAATAACCGCGTGTGTTTTGCAAGCGTCAATATAACATTTCTCTAAACATGATCTCTACACGTACGTTGTATCATTGGCACAGGAAGTAGTAGTGTACAAGTCCCGCGAAAATCATCAAATCAAGAGAAAAACAAAGTAAAATGAAATCAAAACCCAAAAGGTCAACATGAAAAGACATAATTAGGGCAAATGCATAACAAAACCAATGTCACTTACAATAGTTGGTCAAACAGACACCACCACCACCAAATGACTCGCACTCGACGTTAAAACCAAAGACAACAACAGCGCAGCCGAGGGGTGAACAGAAGGCCTGAAAAGCCAGAAGAGCCATCCACCATTATTTCCAGATACAATGACAAGCATAAGCAAACAAAGAAACAGCACAATGACGTTTAAAATAACGATCGAGAAATGCCCGTCACTCTTGCTCTGACTCCGACTCGGCGCTCTGGAGCCATTCGATAAACGGCTTGGAGTTCTTCCAAATAGGGGAGCTCTTCTTGTTCCCAGCTAAGCCCTGTTGGTACCACTTCATAATGTATTCCTCCTCCAGAATGTCAACATCATACAATGATTTCAGAACCAGAGCCACTTCCTTTGCGGCATCAGGGTTTGCCTTCCCACTGAAGGACTCGATAGCTTGCAATAGAACCGTCTGAGATCCCTCTGTCTGGGTGGCTGCAGCGAGGTAGTTTTTCTTCTTGGAAACCTCTTTAGAGAACCCCTTTCCAACACCTTCAAAGAGAGCCTCGAGTAGGGCGTCCATAACTTCTTGGGGTGTGCCAGAAAGAGTCCCCAAATAGGATTTAAGCCGAGCTGCAGAAGTCCCCTTTTGCAAGGATTGTTTGATCTCACTAACAAGTCTTTCATGGGTATTATTATCAGCACCGTTCTGATGACTCTTCGTCTCAGGCTTCTTCACTTCATGATCGGGAGACTTCTTTGGTGACCTTTTCTCCTCTTCAACAGTAGAAAGCATCACCATATCAGCAGTAACAGCACTCAACTGCTCCTGGATTCGCTTCTTAGCTGCCTCCAAGGAAGTGTCCGTCTGCCACTGGACATCGTCATCATCGTCCTCCTCAGCAGCTTGGTCATTCTCATCTCCCTGGCTGTGAGTAGGGGAGCGATCCTCATCGGAACCAGTGTTTTTCTTCTTGCTTGATACTTTTGAACCAGAAGTTCCTTTCTTCTTTGCTGCCTCCTTCTTAAGCTTCTTTTGCTCCTCGTCAGCGGCCTCCCCTTCCTTAAGTTGTTCTTTGTCAGCCCTCCTCAAGGCTTTCTTTTCTTTAGCTGTCTTCTTCTGCTCTGGAGGATTCTTGAGGATAAAAGTCGTAAGCTTGTCCCTCATATCAACATCAGATACAAACCCACATGCAGCACATTTCAGATTTAGCATCTGCGTCTTGGTTATAATAATTTCAGTTTCTGGATTCCCGCAACCATAGCACTGCACATATTTCTTAATGAAGTTCTCCAGAAGTCCAGCAAGCTTTGCAGTGTCATGAGCACCATTCACATGGGAAGTTCCAGTCTTCTCATCAAATTTTGATTGGGCTCCAAGCTCACAGCCAAAATACTTCGTGGTGTATGAAGCAGGTCTAGCCAAGGCCTTTGCAATATCGACCATATTAACCACATTAGTCTTGATGCCATTTCCTCTGCCTTCAATCTTCGTTATCATCCTTGGCATCTTATACCTGTAGAAGGCATCATCACGGTTCGAAGCACCAATGTTTTGTAGAGCCATGGTGTGAGAGATGATAGATTATATCAGAAGGGTGTTGCCTCTTGACACTAGAAATCCTCCTTTACCACAGGGTTGCATAAATTGGCAACCAAGAAACTCTGTGTTATTCCCCTCTAATAAACCAAGATGTATGCATTCAACTTCAACAGAAGCAGCTCTGCTCTTTTTTCTAGATGTAGGACTATATTCACCGAGTAATCCAATTGACGATAAAAAAAGAGTGGCCCGTTCAGACATAAAATAAGTTCTAGACGTCACACGCTCCACTTTGACAAATTGCAGATACAGCAGACTGAACTGACAATTTCCTACAATAACATAATATAGCTGTTTAGAAAACTAGTTAGAGTAAGATAATAATATAAAATCAAGAAAAACAGACCAAAACAAAATTATTCATACTCCCAACTCATACTTTTCTTCTAACAGCAGCAGGAAAACGAAAAGATAATCCCGATACCAGACCTAACAAAAGAATCGTTCATGCAGGCAAGTTCCTTGGAACAATTCCAAAATAGTCCCCATGAGCCTAGAAATGTACTACATCCCAGATAAAATACAACTTAATTTTACCTTCATGTCCAGCAATTATTAACTTTCCAGCACAAAAAATAAGCGCAGTGATTACATTGTTATGAGCTAACCTGAAGTAAAACGACACATATATGTTCAACCTATGCTAGTACAACAAAATCGCAATCCACAAATTTCGAAGTCCAAACAATCAAGCAAAATTGTGATCCGAGAAGAAACCTGGACAAGGTTTACAACACAAGCACGAACACGAATCTAAACATATTATTCTTTTGTAACTAAGCAATTCAAAAAATATAAGAGGCAAGGAATTATATATCCATAGACACAGTTTTAGCAGCATATATAAACACACAATACGACTTTCCCTATCAAGGAAATCAAACATATTATAAGAACCAAACGTATTCACTTGTTTAGGCAATATACTAAGCATATACATACATACATACATACATACATTATACATATATATCGTAACGATTCAGAGGAATAGGTCAATAACAATTAAATATATCACAAAAGTGGAAGAAAAATCCAAATCCAAGCAGCACGGAATAAATCCATCATATATCCTACTCAAATTAAACAAATTAATACAAAAAATAAACCCTAAAATCCACAGATCTGTACAGATTTACAAACACAAAACTCGATCAAGAAACGTAAAAACTTCAGCTCGGGTCGAACAACACAAACTCTCACGCAATCAAAAACAATAATCACAGATAAAATAGTTCACGAAATCGAAAATCAAAGAGCAGAGAGATTGTGGGGGAGATATTATACCTTGTTCTCCTGGATGGGAAACGAAGAGAGATGAAAGAAGAACCTAGAGAGAGAAAAAAAGAGGGTATGCGGCGATGCCTTTGCGTCTGATGGGTGAGGGGAATGGACAAAGAGGGGAATTTATATGCGGTGTGCTGGGGGCGAGAAGGCACGCGTAGGGCAACTCACCACCTTTGATTTATTATTTTGTTATTATCATTATTATTATTGATTTCTCGCTACCAACCGGGTGGTGTTTTTGGGTCACAATAATGATAGGTACCGTTACTCTGTTTATTTAGCTTTGTAACTAAGTTTATTGGTTCATGACAGGATTTTTGAGGTATGCGTATTACTCCGGTTCTGAAAAATTATATTCTCACATCATACTACAACCCCATTTGGAAATGCTTTGAGGTTGTCCGGGTGCATATAATAACATCCCATTTTGAGAGTGATAAAAGTAGAAAAGTTCAAATGGAAAAGTTACTAGCATTCCTTAGATTAAACGTGGATAGATATTAGAAACTATTTTTTTATTTTGTTTTGCTATGTTTTTGTTTTGAAGAGAATTTGATAAATTTATATTACAAATTAAACTAACAAACATAGAGATATTAGCAACAACCAAACTGCTAAGTGAAAATATAAATTGGATAGATGATCACGTGAATAATTCGCCTATTAAAGGAGTGCAGGTTGGACTGGTCGGTTCAACCCCAATCTGCCCAAAAACTTTAATCTAAAATTATTGGACCGGATTAGAGGAAACATGTGTTCAGTTGGGCTGGCAAACGGAACACAATTAGGTTGAACTAAGTTAGGGCAATATCTTTAAAACATTTCAATTTCATACATTTACTTATCATTTTATTTCAATTTCATACATCCATTAAGTAATGACGTGTCAAATATAAGATCTACATTAATGCTGACATGGTTGCTAAATTTATGCCATATAGCAAAAAAATAAATTTTTATGCATTTAAAAGATAATAATTTACCCTATTTAAAAATTAAAAAAATAAAACCTTAAAACCCATCTCCTCCAACCCACCTTCTCCCTCTCCTCCACTCTCTTCACCTACCCTCCCATCATCATTGTCATCCTCATAGCCACACTCGTGGCCTCAATTTGCCTCTGTCTCATCCTCCGCCACCACAACCGTCAATGCATTCGTCGCCTTGTGCCCTCCCTCGCCGTCTCATCCTCCGATTCTCGCCGTCAATCTGGTGACCTTGCCCACCCTCCCTCTCTTCACCTTCTCCTCCATCACTCGCCGATCATCCACCACCATATCCGCCGACAGCGTTGTTTGCCTGTTGAAATTCGAGCCGAGTGATAAGCTCTGTCTCCTCTCGCTCTACTGCCACGCCTTCCACACCATCTGAATTGACACGTGGCTCTAGTCGTAGCAGACTTGCCTGTTAAAACTAAAGGGAATGGCAGTAAGCTTTGCAAAGTTTGAGTGCACGAAAGCTGGGAGAATGTTATTTAGCTAAACAACAATTGTGGCTATTAAATAGCCTTACACCAAGATAAGAATGAAGATAACTACACACGACTTTACAGGTCTTATAATCATGGGCATGACTACGTTGAACAGAAAAGAAACAAACTGGTTCCTCAAGTTAAGGAGGAATTATTCAACATAACAGAAGTAAACCCTAAAGACAAGGAACCCTAACCCTAACGGCTAGGAAGCTCCAACAATTTCATCATCCTCCCTTAAACTGGATGCCATTGTCATTCAGTTTATACTTGGGTATTCACACACACCCAATAAGCTCCGCATCTTCAGAAACATATCAAGCTTTAAAGGCTTTGTTAGAACATCTGCAATTTGTTCTTGTGTAGAGCAATGAGTTAACTCCAGAATTCCATCCTTGACAAGATCGCGAAGGAAATGAAATCTTATATCTACGTGTTTGCTGCGACCATGCATCACAGGGTTCCTTGAGAACTTTATTGCTGAGATGTTATCACAAAACACCACGGTTGAACAACTTTGCTCTTGATTTAGAACTTTCAAAATTCTTCTAATCCACACGACCTGGCATGCACTAGATGCTGCTGCTATGAACTCAGCTTCGATGGTAGAGAGAGTGACCACGAGTTGCTTCTTTGAGGACCAGGAGATGGCTCCCGAGCTTAGTAGAAAAGCATAGTCTGAAGTGCTTTTCCTGTCATCTTGATCGCCAGCATAATCACTGTCTGTGCCTTTCACATACCTCAAGACCCTTTTTGCTGCTAGTAGGTGAGACTCAGTAGGACGCTCCATGTACCTACTGATCAGGCTGACGATAAACATCAAATCGGGGCGTCTGGCAGTTAAGTACATGAGGCTTCCCACCATCTGCTTGTAGACCGTGCTGTCAACTTCAGTTTCTCCTTCATCTTTTGTGAGTTTAAAGCCAGGAACCACTGGATTATGTACTGAGTTGCACTGATCCATATTGAACCTTTCCAGAACCTTTTGAGCGTACTTCCATTGACTGATAAAGATACCATCTGTCCTTTGTAATACTTCAATACCAAGAAAATACCTCATTCTTCCAAGATCAGTCATGTCAAACTCGATCATCATTGATTTTTTAAATTTTTCGAACATCAATTCATCATTCCGAGTAAATATAAGGTCATCGACATACAAACACACAATTAAAATATTACCTCCACCAGTAGTTTTAGTGAATAGAGTGTGTTCATAAGGACATTTGATGAAACCTTCTCTGATGAAATATGCCTCAATGCGACTGTACCAGGCTCGGGGAGCCTGTTTGAGTCCATACAAGGCCTTCTTGAGTCGATAAACCTTAGATTTATGCCCCTTCTGTTCATAACCTGGAGGCTGATCGACGTAGACTTCTTCATTAATTTCGCCATGCAGAAAGGCCGACTTAACGTCAAGTTGATAGACTGCCCAAGTTTTCTGAGCAGCAAGGGCTAAGACAATTCGAATGGTGTCCATGCGAGCCACAGGTGTGAATACTTCAGCGTAATCAATTCCATACTGCTGACAATATCCCTTGGCAACTAGTCGATCCTTGTATTTGTCTACTTCTTCGTTTTCGTTGAACTTAGTCTTAAAGACCCACTTAACTCCTATGGTTTTCCCTCCTGATGGCAGCACTGTTAATTCCCATATGTCGTTTTTCTCAATAGCTTGTATTTCTTGATCCATGGCTGTCCTCCATTTATCGGACTTCACGGCTTCTTCGAATGTGAGGGGATCCCCATCAGTGAACAAGGCTAGATGTGCCAAGTTTACATTTTCTTCATCAGAGAGACCTTGTCCAGTTTCATAATCTCTCATCCATACTGGTGGTATTCGGGCACGCATTTCTCGAGACGAGGTTTCATCATTTGAAGTATTACCTTCGACAGTCTCAGTTTCTCTACTCGATTCTTCATTGGCTTCAGACTCTTCTTCATCCTCCTCTTCCGCCACTTCTGCTTCTCTTTCAGTCTCCCACTCGAGATCAGCTTGCTTTTGACCTTCATCCCAATTCCAATGTTGATCTTCTTCGAATACCACATCTCGACTAACAATTATCTTATTTGAAAGAGGATCAAATAATCTGTAGGCCTTAGATTCCTCACTTACCCCAAGTAATATGCATTTGAAACTCTTGGCATCGAGCTTTACTCGTCTGTTGTCAGGTACATGCACATGAGAAATGCATCCAAAAACACGAAAGTGGTCCACTGATGGTTTGTGTCCACTCCATGCCTCCTCAGGTGTTTTGTTCTTCACAGCAAGAGTTGGACACCGATTTAGAAAATGCACCGTCCAATTCACTGCTTCAGGCCAGAAGGTCTTGGGAATTTGCTTTGCTAACAACATGTTTCGCACCGTATTCATAATAGTGCGATTTTTCCTTTCCGCGACACCATTTTGTTGAGGTGTATAACCAGCCGTCAACTGTCTATGAATTCCATTCTCATTGCAGAAGTTGATGAAATCATGTGATGTGAATTCTCCCCCACGATCTGTTCTCAGGCTCAGTACGTATGTCCCAGTTTCCTTCTCAACTTTTGCTTTGTAGGTTTTGAACGTGGCAAATGCTTCTGACTTCTCTGCCAAGAAATAAACCCATGTTTTTCTACTGAAATCATCAATGAAAGTGATGAGATACCTCTTTTTGCTATTTGAAACCGGGTTGATTGGTCCATAAATATTTGCATGCACCAATTGAAGAATATTGGTGGCTCTCCACATGCTCTCCTTTGGAAAAGGGTCACGGTGCTGCTTTCCCACCAGGCAGTCTTCACACACCTTTGGAGAAGTTTAAAACCGAGGCAACCTTGTCACCATGTTCTTTTGTTGAAGCACTTTGAGTCCATTCTAGTTAAGATGTCCATATCGATGGTGCCAAAGATCTGCTTGATTTGTGGTCAGTGTGGAGAAGCATTGTTGTTTCTTTGGTGCGAAGCGAGCACGTACTGCAAACATCCTGTTATGTGTCATCCCAGTTTCCATGATTAAACCTTTCTCACAGTGAAAGATTTTACATTTCCCATGTTTGATAAGTACTGCCAGCCCCTTTTCTTGCAACTGACCGATACTCAACAGGTTGTTTTTCAGGTCTGGCACGTAGAAGACTTCTGTGATTGCATGCACAAGTCCAGTAACCTCTATGCGAATCTTACCCTTCCCTTGTACAGTAAGACTTGAGTTGTTCCCAAGCTTCACTGATTCTCAAAAGCTGCTGTCGAGATCACAAAACATGTCTTTGTTCCCACACATGTGGTTGCTACACCCAGAGTCAAGATACCAAATGTGCTCCACTGTATCCTCTTTGGAGTTCACAAGAGCCATCAATAGTATCTCCTCCTTTGTATCTGCATAATTTGCTTTTTGTTCCGTGGCTCGCTTAGGGCATTCCCATTGAAAGTGCCCTAGTTCATGACAATGGTAACACTCCAGGGTGGATTTGTCGAACCCAAACCTACCCCTTCCTCTTCCTCTTCCTCGATAGGTACCTCGTCCTCCACCTTTTCCTCCTTGCTGGGGTCCATGAGTGATTTGTAGTGCTTGTTCTTCGTCCACATGTCGGCTGATACGTTGTTCATGTACCAAGAGGCTGCTTTGTAGCTCGTCTATGGACATCATATCCAGATCGTTGGATTCTTTAATGGAGCAAACAACATAATCATATTTTCTAGTCATAGATCTGAGAATCTTTTCAATAATTACCACATCATGCATTTTCTCCCCATGCGTTCTCATCTTACTAGCTATGGTGAGAGTTCTGCCAAAGTAGAGTCATTAACAGACTCACCAGACTTCATGTGTAGCACTTCAAACTCCCTGCGAAGGGCCTGTAATTAAGCTCGCTTGACACACGCTGTTCCCTGATATTTCTGCTTCAAGGAATCCTAGATATCTTTTGCCGTATCTTTCTTCAACATGGTCTCTAATGTCGAACGATCTATGGCTTGGAGCAGGTAGTTCTTAGCCTTGAGATCCTTCAACCTCTGATCCTCATAGGTCTTCTTCTGTGTCTCACTCAGATCCGATCCTTCTGCTGCTGCAGTGATCCCCGTCTCTACCAAGTTCCAATACTCCTTGGAACGCAGAAAGTTCTTCATCAGCATACTCCAATGGTCATAGTGACCATCAAACTTTGGAATGGCAGGTTGCACAAAACTACTCTCGGATGCCATATCTTTGTTTCTTCACTCTAGTACCGGACTTACAAGTCTTTTGATCAGGCCCCGTGATGGGGCTCTGATACCAGACGTTAAAACTAAAGAGAATGGCAGTAAGCTCTGCAAAGTTTGAGTGCACGAAAGCTGGGAGAATGTTATTTAGCTAAACAACAATTGTGGCTATTAAATAGCCTTACACCAAGATAAGAATGAAGATAACTACCCACGACTTTACAGGTCCTATAATCATGGGCATGACTACGTTGAACAGAAAAGAAACAAACTGGTTCCTCAAGTTAAGGAGGAATTATTCAACATAACAGAAGTAAACCCTAAAGACAAGGAACCCTAACCCTAACGGCTAGGAAGCTCCAACAGTTTCATCATTGCCCACTCTGTCGGTCCTCAATCGTCGCTTCCGACGCCGAGCTCATTTCTGTTCGGCCTCTATCTTTTAATTTTTAATTTTTTTTTTAAATTTTTTTGGGGATTGGGGTTGGGTGCGTTGATCTGGAGAGGGGAGGTGAAGAGAGTAGAGGAGAGGGAGAAGGTGGGTCGGGGAGGTGAAGAGGGATGAGTAGGTCCCTGGGGAGAGAGAAGGAAGGGGAGGTGAAGAGAGTGGAGGAGAGGGAGACGGTGGGTTGGGGAAGATTGGTTTTAGGGTTTTTTTTTTTTAAATTTTTTTTAATAGGGTAAATTATTACCTTTTTAAATGCATAAAAAATTATTTTTTTGCTACGTGGCACAAATTTGGCAATCATGTCAACACAAATGTGGATCTCATATTTATCACGTCATCACTTAACGAATTTCCTAATGGACGTATGAAATTGAAATAAAATGATAATTAAATGTATGAAATTGAAATATTTTAAAAATGTTGTATGAGGTTGCAATCGACCCTAAACCTAATCTAGCTGTTTCATGAATCTCATAAGTTATATTTATACAATGATTCAATAATATATAGATTACAGTCTTAAAAAAAATGATACATAGATTATAATGTGTCGGTGATGTTCATACTGCCAGAAAATGGCATTTTCTCGACAAAAGTTTGGCCAACGAATCAAATTTCTTTTGGCAAAGTAACTTTACTCAACGAAAGATAAAATTTGGTGGCAAAAGAAGAAATTTTTTAAACACAAGATGCAAAGATGTAAAGATGGGAAGAATGACTTACATGACACAAATACACTATCACAATTACATTCCGTGCTAATAAAATAAAGACATATATAAGACTTTAGCACAAGATGTAAGGCTAGGACCTCACAAATTAAAGAACCTTTGGTTTCCACCCCGGCTTGGTTCTCACATAAAATAGTTGCAAGTAAACGAGGGTTTTAAAGCTCAAGCAAACGCCACCACCCCAAAACCGGAACAATTTTTTGGAACGAAGTGAACTTATTCCAGTACATGACCCCGAGTTGCAGAAAAACATAAACTGAATGTGTCACGACCAAGTCTTTTAATGTAATCAACGTTAACCTTCACATCTTCACATCGTCGGGTTGCGAATAAGGGAGGAAAAATTGTATTTTGAATAGACACTACTTTAGTTTTAACAAATTAACCAAGACTGGTATCACATTACAAACATTTACAAAGGTCAAGAAGTCTTCCATATTACCTATGGAGTTGCAAATTGAACCGTATTTACTATTCATTTTCCTGTCTCCTTGGTCCAAATGCTTGAGGAAGTTTAAATGATACATGCACGGCCAATTTTCTCACTTGCGAAATCCAGGTTCCAAGGAAAATGGTACCGCTGGTAGATCACTACTTACTCCGGGTGAGCAGTCCAATAAATTAGCCCACTACAAGAAACCGAACGTCAGTTAAACTAGCTCGTAAAAGCATGATATGCAGAACAGTATGGGTTACATGAAACTAAATTTAAAGTATCAAAATCAGTGTCCGGCCAGCATAACTTGTTCACACTCAGGTTCATGTCTCAGTGTGTATCCCATTAGAGGAATGTTGCTCTAGATCTAGGGTGCCCCAAGACAGAAATATGCTTATATTCGTCAAAAACTTATTTTGTTCTGACAAACCCCAATTATTCAATAGCTGAAACCAAAGTTATCGAGATGCATAAAAGCAACAGTAATCCGAGGAGAAATTACTTCTGCAGGTAGATTATTTATGCATCACTTACATATATATCCACGAAGGATATACATATACACATGAATAGAGCAAATACACACAACATGCTTGTCAATATCAACAACTAGCGCCCTCATTTATAGATGTCAAAGACAAATGGGGGTTTCGTGCAGACGATTTTACCTGATCAACACAAAAACTGCTTGCAACACACCAGCAGTTCCAGTCCACACTGAAGGGCCAGTTTTCACTAAAGAATCTTGTATTAACAGACCCACCGATGCAGCTAGAGATACAAATGCAACAACATAAGCAATGAACAGCCAAAGCTTCAATCTGTTGCAAATTCACAGAAGAATTAGAACCAATTCAGGACCACGCAAAAGGGCAATAAAATCCATTCTCATAACCCAGAGGATTGATCAAATGGAAGAGACCCTACTCAATTCACCTAATTCAACCTCACAAATTGAAATAACAACACATTTACATATCCAATGTATCAACATTCCCACATTAAATAATCTAAACTTAAAATAATTGTCCATATTAAGACAGCAAGAATACCAATTACATAAACAATCAAATTGAAACTTAAAAAAAAAACCCATGTTAAATTTGGCCCTAATTCTGAGCTGTGCATTCGATTGCTCACCTCCACTCGCCTTCTTCATAAGGGGAGTAATCAATGTCCTCCTTTTTGACGCAATTGAACATCAGCGCCGCTATCGACGCAAATATGCCTGCAAAAAATCACATTTGCACACACAAATCAGAAACCCTAGAAATCTAAAGAAATGCAGAAACAAAATTTGGTTCGGATCGGGTCGGACCAGGGAGGTAGTGGAGGAAGGCGACCTTGACAGAACTGCAAACGACAGCGTCAACCCAGAACCACCAGCCGGCCCCGAACACGGCTCCGGCAACGCCAGGACCGAAGATCCCCCAGAGCTCCGACAAATCCATTTAAAACAATACGACTTTCCCTGACATAAAAGGCAATTTCAGGTATAGGTCAATAACATTCACAAAGTGAAAGAATAATCCAAATCCAAGCAACACAGATAAACCCTGAAATCCACAGATCTGTACCGATTTCCAATACAAACACAAAACTCGATCCAGAAACGTAAAAGCTTCAGCTCGGATCGAACAACACAAACTCTCACGCAATCAAAAACAATAATCGCAGATAAACTAGTTCACGAAATCGAAAATCAAAGCGCACAGAGATTATCGGGAGAGATTATACCTTGGTATCCTGGAAAACGACGAGGGAGGGAGAGATGGAAGAAGAACCCTAGAGAGAGAAAGTGAGGGTACGGGGCGATGCTTCGCGTCGGACGACTCTGCGTGAGGGGAATTAGGATAATACTTGCTCACTAATGAGCAAATCCACTCGCTTTTTACATTTAGCCCGACACCACTTTAAGTTAAGCCCTTTAGGTAACCTAAAGGGATTTTCATATTTACTTTTACAAATAGCGAAAAGTTGTGGTATTCACTTTATAGCGATGAAATTTCGATGTTTATTAAAGAACAAAATGTTCATCAATTTTTTTGAACTCAATTAGATGCTTCAAATATTTTTGATTTGACTAATATTTTGTAAGGGTGATCTATGACGTGCAACTTAAAAAATAGAAGGTTCAAATTAATGAAAACTAATGAAAATGGTTTGATAACTTTGAGTTTTAACGAAAATGACAAAATAAAGGGTAAAGTCAATAGTACCAGGATTGACTTTTTAGTGTAAAAATATGGTTTTTTGTTAACATGAACAGTACTGAGAGCTTTTCGTTAAAGTTTTCTGCAAATTAGGGTTGGGCAAATGGGTATAGGAATAGCAGGTCGGGACGGGTACGGGTCGGTTCTAATTTTTTAATAAGAGAAACGGGTCAGGGCTTTGAAATTTTAAGGGCGGGTCGATTCTAGATGTATAGGAAAACGAGGCCACGGACTGGCCCTTTTTGTAATTGCAATGGATGGACGAGATTGAACCCTAACCTACCATCTAATCTTAACCGTTAGTTTTAGCTTAGGTTCTCTCTCGTCGAGTCCTCAACTCTGTCACTGGACTGAACTCGAAGCTCGAACTTGATTCTCTCTCACCGACATCACCATCAGTCATCTCCTCCACCACCCCGACATCATCGCCATCGCGAGTCTAGGCTCTAGCGACCACCATGATGGCCCAACAACCTCGATTGTCTTCCTTAAGTCCTCGACGACATCCCAGACATAGAGAACCCAGGCACCTGCAACACCCATCTTCTTGATTCTCCTTCTCCTCTCCTTGATGACATCACCGTGTCGCGACCACCAACACTCCATCGCAAAAGCCAGTCAGGTGAATTCTTTAACCTCTGATGTTAATTGATGCTTAAAGCCTTAAACTTGCCAAATCTAAACCTAGTCATTCCCATATTTTGCATAATTTCTTTTGCTAATTTTTATCTAGGATGTATGTAGGTTGATCTATTGGGTTTTTGTAATACCCTAAAAGATTTAAGTATATGAGTTGATATTCATAATTATGAATATGTGCAGAAAATCGAAAATAAATCGATTTATGGTAATGAAAATTTTAATTGAGAAAATTTAAAATTTTATTACCGGAATACGTCCTAAAATGTATTGATAAGTGAAAAAGATGAAAATGGCCCTGGTTAATTTAACATAATTATATTAGGACGTATTTTATCCTTATATATTTTATCATATTTCTTGGCATAGTAGGATAGAGCTCGATCTCACGAACGCGTAAGCGCAAACCATTTGTGAAATGGAGTTATAACGAATGAGTTATTAACGAACGAAGTTAGAGGTAAAAATGGTAATTTAATTATTAATCTGGAAAGCTGCAGATTTGTTGGAGTGTGGATATGGTGCCACGTGTGTGGCTGAGATTGAGGGGAAGACGAATCAGAACCGGGGGAGGGGGAAGGGGAGGATGATGGCCAATGAAGGAGGGGGAATAGGAGGGAAATGAGATAATGAAAAAGGGAGGGGAACGGGTGTCCTACCCGACCTGACCCGATGGCGGCACAAGGTTTTTCGACGGACCTGGAAAAATCTCCCTAGCCTTCCCTAATCCATTTTCACCCAAAATTAGAAGGAATTTGGTGGTGGTTTTGGGGGAAAACGGACGGTGGTCTGTGTAGGTGTACAGCGGCGATCCGCAAATCGTGAAACTAACTTAGCCAATGACCACCAACAATAGGCTCCCCTAAACCCCAGGAAGAAAGCCCAAGTAGTGGTGGAGGCATCAGAGTGAGTATGAAGGTCGAATCAAAGCACACCGAATTCTAGGGTTTCGGCGGTTCGAGGATGATTTGAGGTGTTTCCCGGCCGAATTAGACTTCGGCCTAGGTATGAAAGTTGTTCCTTTCATTGAACTCTACTCGCCTGTAAATTTTGATAATTTTTAGAATAGTCAGAAATTGGGTTTCCGTTCGCTGGAAACCGCCACGTGCGGAAACACATGGCTTGTGACAACCCGTCCCTAATTGTAAGTTTTATAAATTTTAAAATAGTGATTTTATGAAAATGCCCTTAGAGGCGAGGATGCTTGACTTTCGTTGACTGTTCTAAGTCACAATTAATGTTTCTAAATAGATCTTCAAGCTACGAACGCATAGGCGAAAGCCGTTTACAAGTCTGAATTATAACGGTATAGTTACGGACATTTGAAATTGTTTACTCAAATTTTAGTTTATAAACTAATTAAACTCCCACCATGTGGGAATTGTAACCAATCAAATTAAAGGGGGAATGACCAATTAGAAATTAGAGGAGAGAAAGATAGCCAATTAGGAGAGGGGAGAGAAAACTCCTAGCCTTCCCTTTCCGTTGACCTGTCTGTGCACCCACCCGAACAAATTCGGACAGTTTCCGACATTTTTCCAGTCGAACCACCATCATCCAACACCTGCTGCAATCTCTTCCACAACCTCTCTTCTTCCGTTAAGCAAATTGCATTCATAATTTATGAAATCACAACTAGAGGTAATCAATTCATATTACATTTATGTTCATGGTTTTGAATCCATCTCTAACTAAAAAGAAATTAGTTCCTCATGTTCGCACTTAACAAAGATAACTTAAATTAAACATTGAAAGCAAAAGATAGAATACACCTAGGATGTTCCAGCAATCCAAACTTGAATTTGATGGCACAGCTAAAGCTTTACTCTCCTTCCTCCTTGCAAAGCTGCGGCACAAAAGGGATTTGTGTGATTGATGGTTGTGTGGTGTGAATTGTGGTGAATGATGGGTAGAGGGTGGTGTTTTGATTTGCGCGGCATAATGTAGTATTTATAGGCTAGGGTTTTGCACAATTTTTGAAGGGAAAAGGATTGCACAATCATAGGGGAAAAGGACTAGCTATATGGCATAAACCAAAGAGGAAAAGGAGAGAAAGGTGCGGCAGGTTCTTAGGGCTTCTAGAAAGGGGTTTTGTGACAGGTTTCTAGAAGGACAAAGGATAAGATATGTGGCACAACTTAGGGCACGAAAATAAGGCTTCTAGAACCTGATATTTAGGTGATTTAATGTGAAAATGAGTCCTCTTTGTAGCAGGAATTAAGGTGGAATGAGATTAGGTTAGGATAAGATAAGATAAAGTTGGATAAGGTTTGGATAAGATAAGGTTGTTTGGATAATGTCCCTTCTTTATAGCTGATTCCTTATCTTCAATGCTTCCAAATTTGTTTCTCCAGATATTAAGCACATTCCTAGCCTTTCTTGATCTTCAAATTCGTCCATCCACCTTGCTCCATATGCAAGCTATCCATTCCATGCCCAAAACTGCTCCAAATAACTCCAAAATGCACTTGCTTGCCAACTTTGCCATTAGGACCTACAAACACACGAATATAGCTTAAAACACTATAATAAATGGAAACTAACTATGTAAATGAAAGAAAACAAGCTAACTAAGTCGCATTTATATGCTCTTATCAAATTCTCTCACACTTAGCTTTTGCTAGTCCCCGAGCAAAACAAAGAAAACAAAACACAACCTAAACCTTCCAACAATTGCCTCAGGGATTTTCAATGCAACATGATATGTTAAAAATCACTACTCCCACATATTTTAGTTATCCCTACCCTTGGGCATACACTTAACAGTAGTCACCACTCACTAACTCGCATTTAATCAATTAAAACAATATTTTGAATGTAGTAACATACCTTAGAGAATTCACTCAATTCCTCACTGGATATACTCTCTTAGAGAATTCACTCAATTCCTCACTAGATATACTCTTTATTTTCACACAGATTTTCTGATTACACTCCCTACACTAGGTATATGTGAGAAGATTGATGTAAACATGTAGACTAGCACTCACATATGTATAATGAAAGAAGGCACTTTCTAGAATTATTAACATGTATATGATTATGATCTCATGAATGGAATGACACCACTTAGATGCGAGAACCAGGGATACCATATGCTCATACCAATTTTAAACTCCACATATTGAAACACATAACAATCAAGATAGAAGTCAAAGGGTTGTAATGGGGCTAAGGTATTGGCTAACAAAGAAAGGTTAGGATAAACAAAAGTTCTTAAAGCAATAGTAAAAAAGTAATGAAATAAACACTTGGAATTCACTTTTGAATGCAGAAAGTCAACTTTAAACATCCATGGGAAATTCACACATCACTTAGGGCCAAATTCAAACTTTTGGACCCTTTCTTCAACAACCAATACTTGTGAGTTCATTCTCACTTATTTTCAACTCTTTTTCTTTCTTTTCTACAACTTTTTCTTTCTTTTTCACGTTTTTTTTTTTTTTTTTTTGTGCCCTTTTCTTTCTTCTTTGGCACATAAATCATACACCTTCCCCACACTATACTTTAAAAACAAGGGTATGGATAGTCCTATTCTAGGCTAGGTAAGGATAATGTGGTTAACAAAGAAAATAGGCTGAATAAGGCTCAAAAGGGTTAAACCTACAATACATATGCAAAGGGTAAGGCTTTTTGGCTTTGATTTAACTAAACAACTTCATCTTGTTTTATGTTATGCACTCAATTTTATGCTTTGAATGAAATGAGCATGAGTTCTAGTATTTGGAACTATAGTGATGAAACGTATTCTAAATAGCAACCAAGCAAAGAAATAATGAGATCATGCAACGACTTTAGAAAACAAAAACATCAAGATTAATAACTCTCCAAATAAAGTATAGGCTCAAGTCTCTCAGGGTTGTAGCGTTAGTTTAAGTTCCTTCCTTCAAGCATGTTCCAAAAACTGATTCTTTTTTTTTTTTTTTTTTTTTTTGGGTGATTACATGTGAATTCATAAATGACAACTACAACTAAGCATAAACCAAAGAACATATCAAACTTCCATCCATGTTTGTAACTTTCTTTAACAGTCATGCAATTAAAAAC